CAGAAGACTTTGACCCAGTGTGCAGGAAGTTCAAGTCTATGTGCAAGTGAAAAATATTTTAGCACGTATTCCATATCTACATTTTCCCCCCAAATCTGAGAAAAGGATGTGGCTCAGGTTGTGCTGGGGGTTTATCTGGGGTAGCGTTTTCTCTGGTCTGGTTTGGCTGATCTCTAGGTGTTCCATCACTCTGTCACATGCCTTGAAAAATAAGTGCATGGATAGAACTAGTTTAGATCGATTTATCCTTTCTGGTACTTTTTCTTTTTTTTTTTTTTTTCTCTTTTACTCCCCTCTCCCTTTTTTCTTCCTCTGTTCCTCTGCAGCTCCCATTAGGAACAAGTCAGTGACTCATAAAGATACATTTTCCCTCATTCACTACATCACAGCCCTACATGCTCAGCCCCTACAGGGTTCCTTGACGCTTGATCTTTGCCACCAGGAGCATCCAATTCTTTGGCCAGTTTTAAGGCCAAAGGGAACTCTACAAACCAGTTGTTCTCTGTTTCCCCCAGGAACAAAACTGGGGCTATGTGACTGCCCTCTAAAGATGTGTGGATCAGCATTAAAGTGCTGACCTGTTCAACACTTCTAGGACCCTTTGAACTGTGGGGCTTTGAAGCAGAGGCTGTAACAAACTGGTGTATAATAAGCTGCTGCCCCATGCCGGGAAAGGCAGAGGTATCAGGGACTGGTGGAAGCTTTTGAAGGCACAGAATGCTATTAAAAACTGCGAGGGACTGGAGAAAAAGAGCCAGTGAAAAACAAATCTCTTTTCCGAGCAGTGATGAATCTAACTCTGGTAAGTTAAAGCTAGGGTCACTAAACCAGATTTGACTTTTACAAAATTTGGGGGTGTCTGGCTTATGGTTTTGGGCTGAGAGGCACTTTTGCAGAAACTGGGGCTACACCAGGAGAGACGCTTGGTTCAGTTGAGGGCTTTCCTTACCTTTCTGCATCAGTAAGTTGTTAGGGAGGGGAGAACCAGTCTGCATAGCAATAATTATTATCAATTGTATTGTGCTTTTTATCTTCAAAGTGCTTTACAGAGACAAACTAATTATTTCTCTGCAACACCCCTGCGAAGAAGATGGTAAGTATCATTATCTCTGTTTTACCAATGGGGAGACTGAGCCAGAGCATTTAAGCGATTAGCCTGGGGCCACAGGGGCAGTTAGTGTCAGGGCTGGGAATGCAGGAGTGTCTCCGCTCCCAGTCAGCACCAGGCAACATATCTCTTTAGTAGGAACAAAAGGGAACCTTTCTCCAGACTTGGAACCTAAAAGAAGCACTTTTTTTTTTTTTTTTTTTGGCAGGGGATTATAAACTCTTTCTTTAAAATGTAATCATAATTGGAAAAAAGGCTGTGGAGTAATGGCACTAGAGAAGGTTGAAAGTCAGCATGTCTTTATGGGCAATCCTAGAACTTGAAAAATTGGGGAAATTCCTGGAAAATTTGAGGGTGGGAGTTGACAGGTTCTGTTTCAGAGCAAAAAAAAATGACATATTTGAAATTTCCCATGGAAGGGAAAATAAATTACAATGGTTTTTAAATATCAAAATGTTTCTTTACAGACGTTTCAAAATGAAACTGAACCTGAAAGTCTGTGCTCTGAAGTTCCTGGTTCAGACGTGGCTTCAGGGCTTTTAAATTCCTGCATGCCTATCGGCTCTCAGTGAGGTTCTCAGGGCTTCCACAGGTATGTTAGTCGTCACCTCCCCAGCTCGACTCGGGCTGTGGAGTACCTCTGCTGTACTCCAGTGAAAAATCAAACTCATTTCAAACCGCCGACAGCTTGGCACAACTGTTTGTCTTTGCTCTGGAACAGAAAAGGAGCAGCCACACAGTGAGGCAGCAGGCCCAGATGGGAAGCAAGGGACGCACAAAAAACACTTAACTGGGCCAAATCTGCAATGGGAACGTTCCCACTAGCCATAATATTGCCAGCTTCATGGCTCTCTGACCAGTGTGATGTTGTGGAGAGGCTGTCCCCAGACCACACATCCCAGAAACCCTGTGCTCCATGGGACCTTACTGGGCAAGCTATTCAGAAATGTGGCCAGGGTTGGTCAGGACCCCTCCTGAGTCTAACAAGCCACTAAGTTTCTTGAATTTCAAGGATGCTGTCATTTTTTGGGCACAAATAACTTTCAGTAGTGAATTCTTATCCAGCTGTAAGGAACATCTCCTGTAGTTGAGGTGTTCCCCCTGTGCAGCAGACTCTCTCTGGTGATTTCAGAGAGCAGTGTGGATTTCTCTTCCTTCCTCTCCTCCGTCCCCTTTCCCTTTAGCGCCGCAGTGCCAGCCCAGCTCAGAGGAGATGTGCTATTAGGTATCAGCCTTGTAATTAAATGCCAACAGTTGTGCCTTGCAAACATGCCAGCGATCACCAAGCAGCTGCTGACAGCCTGTCATACTTGCAAGGAGCCTTGATGGCTTTTGGCATGAGACAGGACCCCCTGGTCACCCTCATAGCCAGATGTTCCTCGGTGCTCTACTGTGAGGTGAAGCCGGGACAGAGCCGGAGCAGGCTGTCAGCAGCCCAGTTACAGCTTCCTGTCCTGCCCCATTCAAGGAGCAAGCTGGAGCCCTAAGTGACAATCCATCGTGTAGGATACTGCTTGCCTCCCTGACTCAGAGATGAGATCTGAAGTAGGAACACTGGGGAGGAAACTACAGAGCTAGCTCTCTTTTTTTTCTGTGGGATTTTCTTTTGCCTGGGTATGACCCTTGGAGTGCCAAAGTACAGTCACCGACCTCAGGCACTGCCTAAGGACTGCAGCCAGAGAGAAGTTGAGATTTCAGGGCAGCAAAATAGGCAGAAAAGGCATCTTTCTACTCCTAGCTTTGCATTTTTGTTTGGAATGAAGAGCTGTCAAAGACAACACTTTTCTTACATAGTTCATCCTACAGCACTGAGAGGCGCTAAAAATTGTGAAAAATAAATTAAAATACTCAACGAGTCAAGGTGAGACTTTTCACATTGTTCTGGTGCCATTTCAGCCTGAAAAGCTGAGCCAGATCCTTAAATGCTCACAAGCTGCCACGAGGGCTGTATTTGCTAAAGAGTTGTGTAGCCCGCCAGCTTGGCACTTTTGAAAATCTAGATACTGATTTTGGTGCCTAAATGGGAGCTGAGCTCTTTTGCAAATCTGCTTCTGATCGTGCACGCTGAGCTGTTCTGCAAATTCTGGCTATCATTGCTCTGCATTCTTGTACTTCCTGGTTGTGAGCTGTGCTGGGAGCAAAACTATCAAAGCCCCACAAGGAAACCACTCCTGCTCTAATCAGGAAGCATGAAAAATCTCAGGAGCCAAACTTTTCAGCCTTTATTACTATTTGGGTGATGGCTGAATGTCTGAGACTGCTTTATCCTTCTATGGATCAGAGCTGTGCCATGGCAGGTGCTATAAAAACCTCTTAAAAAGAGACAATCCCAGCAATGAATAGTTTATAATCAAAATATAAGACGAGGCAGAAAGTGTGTGCAGCAGATGGATAGATCTGGCATAAGGAAACCATGGGGTGAGTGTTCTGGTGAGTGTCTCCAGCATAGTCTGCAGAGCAGAAAAGAGCAGGCAAGGATAAGCTTAACTGCTTACCTTACCTGACCCCCTAAACCTTTTGAGATTTGCCCACAACAATTAATTATTCCTTTGACTGGCCAAGATGACTCACAGCTGCTCATGCCATCCCAAAGCTCAAGATCTAAGTAAATTTATTGAAATTAGTGGTGGCTCCATTCCAGGAAACTTGCATTTCGTTTTGACTCAAAGGAGCTCCGCACCCTTCCCACCTCTCGTTTCTCCTCTCTTCCCTCACAGTCTGCAGAACTTGCGAAGCGAAGCTCTACAGCTTCGATCTAATCGTGATTAAGGCTCAGGAATGGAAGTCACGAGATCTGAGTCCTATTCCTGTCTCTAATACAGGGTGGTTTTTTTTTCAGTGAGTCACTTCCCTTCTCTCTTCCTCAATATCCTTGTCTGTAAAATGGGGTTAACAATACTGATCCATCTCACCAAAAAGTTGTGAATTCACCAATATCTGTGAGCATTCGAGTAGCCCACATGCTGGAGACTTTCCCTGGGTTTAGTGGCTTTGTGCCTGGCACTAAACGTGTACTTGCATAGTGCAAAGGAAGTTCAGGGTGTTAATTAATGGGACTGTTATGGATTGTTAGGGCTTTTATTTCCGAATGGACTTACACCTCTTTAATAATTAATATTGCCAGCAGGGCATACAAGAGGCAAAGCAAATAAATGGGGTTAACCCAATTCTCATTTGGAAAATACAGTTTACCAGCTTCTTACAAAGGGAATTTACTCACTGTTGTTTACCAGTACCGTGCTGTCTGCAGTTTCTGAGCCACCTTTCATTTGTGTATTGTGCTTTGGTTTCAGGTACAGGCAGATACAGGGTTGTGCCACCTCCAGACCTAGCTGCTGTGTCCGTTTTGGAGTGGTGCAGATAGGCAGAGCTACTTGCTTAGCTCACAGCCTGAGGATCAGCTGCCTGGGGAACCCTCCCTGCGATGACGGCATTCATCCATTGCACAAGGAGCTTTCCTTTGATATTTTACCATCTTATGAGCACTAGAAATGATCAATGCCAGACCTTAGTGAGTTGAAAATGGACATGTCAGATATTCAACTAATACTGTTCTCAAAGCCCTGATCTCAGTTCCTCCTTGGTAGGAGACTAACCTACAGCTTTGAGAACCCAGTTCAGACTTTTTTCTACCTCCAGCAAGGTCTGTCCCGGTAAAAGCTGACACTGTAGCTAATTCTTTTAATTAGGTTGTCCCATCTTGGGTCAGTGGGCTAGACGGCTTTGAAGTTTGCTTTGCCTAATTGCACATGAGTGTTTTGGACAGAAAGCCTGCTGTTAGTGGGCTGGGAGGGCTCGAGGAGGGTTCAGGCAAGTGTCTGCCCAACCGCTCCACCTGTAGGAAGGTGGAGGAAAATCCTTGGGGCTTATCAAAAGGCTGAAATCCTTCGTGTTTTTTTTTTTTTTTTTTTTTTCCAGGAAGGGCTTGTTGTGGCTATTGCACAGCTGGGCAGGCCTTCCTGTGTACTTCTCCTTTCCTCTTGACTGATGCCAGCCAGTAGCCACGGCTGGCTGGTAGCTACTGCATCTGCACCGACTTGAGTGGCCCCTCTTGATGGAGAGGTTGATAGACTCTGAGGACAGGAAGGAGAAACCTGCAGAGTCATCACGTTCTGCAGCAGCTGAAGCCACAACTGCCTGCAAGACACAGAAGAGTGGAGTGGGGGGGTTGACTTCCTGAAGCAGCCTTGCCGGTGCTGTGGAGAGCAAGAGAAATCACAGGGAGGAAAGGCAGGCAGAGGAACTGGAACTGGTGGTTTGGGTCTCCCCCCAGCCCAACAGAAACCATGCTGCTTTTCTTCTGACAGTGCCTCCTTGTGTCCAGCTGAGGTCCTGGAATAGAAACAGAGACGGGTTTGAAGCTGTCTGCAGGAAGAAATAGGAGGTACCCCTGACGCAGTACCATGTGTGTGCGCTTCTTGTTGGAAATGTGTATGAAAAAAATGAAGATATGAAAATGAAACAACTTTTTATTTGAAGAAATTGCTGTTTTTACCATCTTAATTCTAGATTTTCCACATACTAAAAATTCTCATCTGTGTTTCCAGCTTATACTCAGGAACAGAGCTACACTCACCGCTTCATCAAGCAGTAGGAGAGGGCTGTTCACGAGGCTTCACATGCATGGCTGATTTTTGTAGCTGGTGCAGCGAGACACGCGGAGCCATGCTGCAGTAATGTGCATTTGGCACTGCTTTCTCTCACCTGATTACACCATCTTTCCCCTCTAGTGTGACTGGCACTGCTTAGCTTCCTTGCCTGAATTCATGGCTCACACAAACTGGGCAAGTTTCCAGCCCATTATTAATTACCTTATGTCTATGTTCTTAGATCAACTGCCCCACTCTTACCCTGTCTTCTCTTTCTCCTTTATCATATGTTATTTGGAAGGCAAACTTTTCACATGAAGGATCACGTCTGTCTTACATTTGCTCACTGCATAGCACATAAGAAACATTAATGTAACAGCAGTATTATAATCAATCACAGTAACACATGAGTTAATGTCCCTTAAGATCCTATGTCAGCTTATTGAATTACAAGCAAACATATTTGGTACATGAACTAAAGGACTCGTGTAATTGCCAAGACTCTAAGCCAGATCACAGGTTCACATTTCTCTTTCTAACACTGCTGCTCTTTCTAGACCTCCAACAGAAGCATAGGGTGGCCATTCTTTGCCTACACCTGGAGCTAGAGATGTTGGTCATTAGCAGAAATGCAGACAGACAAGAAGGAGGGCTGGGACTTGGTGTAAAGGAGACACTGATTTTAAACAAGATTTGAAGTTTGCATATTTCATGTTTTAAAGTTTGACTTTGGGGTGTCAGCATTTTGGGAATGTGGCAGGGGGGTATTTAGTTAATACTTCATCCACCCATAAATAGAAGACTCTGCGTTCTTAAAGAATCTCAAAGAATTTCTGCTGGTATAAATTGCAATAGCTGTGCTGACTTGAAAGAGGAAGGAGACAAGAAAGATGTCCTGGCTGGGGGTAGGTTAATCCCCCTGGGTTTGCTAGACTGATGTGTTATTCCTTGTTTTGCTACAGATTTCTTGTGTGACCTTGGGCAAATCACTCTCCCTCTTAGTATCACAGTTTCCCATCTGTAAACTGGTGAGAGCAACAACCGCCCTGCCCCAGAGGGGTGTTTGGAGGATAAATATGTTAGAGACTTGGAGCCGCAGGAGTACAATAGTGACAAGGTTCCGACAAATACCGAAGATAGATAGAAGCTGACAATCGGGAGACTGCTATTAGCAGCTGATTCATTCTCTCTGGTTAATGCATATTTTTAACAGGCTGTTATTGACTAGACAGGCACACAAGTCTGTCAATTAACAATGTTATAATGAAGTAAATCTCTGTACCAGTAGCCTTTGGAGGGTGAATTCAGAACTCCCAAACCCTGTGGCACAACACCTGCACTACTAATAAAGGGTGAAGATTCTCCTGTAAGCCAAGTGGAGATACCATGTGCAGCTGTGAAGCAAGTGCCCAAGTGCAATTGGCATTTTCACTGTGAAGCCCTGAGCAGCTTTGGTGTGCAGTATACTGACAAATAAGGAGTCTTAGGTGGCCATGGATTTATTAAAATGTGTTCATAAAACCTTGTCAAGGCACCATTTGAGAACGACTCCTGGCCAGACATTCCGGTGATTGGTGCTTAGAGCCCCTCTTGCAACCTGCCCTGCAATATGATCAGGGAACACTGCTTAATTGTATTTCTTTTACAAAGTGATGAAATGTAAAACTCTGCTCCCGGCATGCTGGCTGGCACAGGAGTCTCAGCAAATATGTGATTCTCGCACTGCAGCTGGACTCTAATGACATGAAAGGTGCTAATGCAATGCAACTGGAACCTTTAATTATCCTAGTGACTAATAGGAAATCTCTCAAAGGGTCTAGGAGAAAGAGCCTTATTCTTCACTGAGAGCTCCCTGAGCTGTGCTTAGAAAAGGGGGCAGGACAAATGGCAAATCTAGGAGGAGGAAGACCTGAGTCCCAGAGCTATGGTGTCTGGGAGGGGGGTTCTCTCTCCTCTGACAACCAGCTTGTCAGACACAGTAAGCAGAGGGAATAGAGCTGCACCCATTATTGACTTGTACTAGTTGGTACTTAAACTTGTTCTGCATCCTGCAGGTAACTGGATAAACCTGCTGATGAAACAGAAAGATTTGGATTGACTTTGAATGTGTTTGTGTTCAAGGAAGAGACAGTGACAGACAGCTGTTTCCCACTTTGCTAGTTGAATGGAGTCTGTCAGATCTTCATGTACTTTGCAGATTATTTCTGTCTGATACAGAGCTTCAGACCCTGTCTCTTAATCTTTATTTTATTTTTTTTTTAATTCAAGAATCTTCTCTGCTGAACAATCCAAGCTGAAACCCATACAGGCCACGCTGCCTGGATTTTATGGAGCAATGCACAGTGCAGGTAGTGTTGGGTGGTTGGTCATGGTACCCAGTGCCATGGCTGCCAGGTCTTCAGACTGATGCAGATTCAGCCTCATGTCACCATCAGCTGTATCAGTTTCTCTTCAGGTAATTATGGCAAACAAGGTCGAAAGGGCTAATATGACTTAAATGATATTACCTGGCAGCTCAGAAGTACGAATAGTTGCCAGACTCATGAAAAGAGCAGTCTACGCCTTTATTCACTCTTTCTCTCAAGACCTTGACAAAGCTGGTGCTTGGCAATGCTAGATAATCCAACATGGGTTATGGGGGTTTTAAAGTCAGAATAAGTCACTTCCCTTCTTGAAGAAATGAAGAAGTCAATGGCACAATCCAAAATATGGAATTTAATCCAGTGATCTCTGCCTCAAGTACTCCAGAGGTTAGGGAGCAGATGAGCTACTGAAGTAGCAGGGAGGGTGCCGAGAACATTAGGCGGTAAAGGGGAATCACAGAAAACCAAAAAAGTTGGTCTTGCCCCTCATGTCCTGGTCCTGTGGCCTACAGCAGCATGGGGTGGGTGTGAATGCCCTCCACCAGACAGAATTGCACCAGCTTCACAACTGGGCTGTGCAAGCCACGGCCTTGGATTTCTCAGGTAAAAATGACGGCGTTTTGGCCGAAAGCTGCACCAAACCAAAAGAAGAAATCTGCTGTGGAGTAGAAATGGAAAACCCATTACCACCCAGTTTTAGTCACGAGTCCCCCAAGTGCAGAAGCAGCTATATCAGTGCCTTTGAAGCATGCAAACTTATTTGTTGCTGCCACCATGCAAGCCCAGGCAGTCTCAAGTCTGTTACTTCTTTCTGTTCCTGCTTTTCTGGTTAAATGCACCTGGGAATATGTAATTGTCGTAAAACATTCATCATAAACAAACGGGATGGGCACGCCAGCTGAGCTAATGCTGGGGAAATGAGTTAAAAAACCTTGAGATTGGTATAATTGGTAGTATACTTGTTGTGAGCAGGATGAAAGATGCGTGTTTTATATGGAAGTATAAAGAAGGGACAGGCGCTATGTGCGCCTGGAGAGAGAAAGCATTCCATGTGTAACTGTGGCTTGGCAAAGGCTCGGGCACTGTTGTTAGAAACACAGAGAACAGATCACTGGTGGAGCAGAGGAGTGATGTGATAAGAAATGTAAAGGCCTATGTTAAATCTCTTACAGGGATCTCTGATTTACATCAGTGCAAACAAGGGCAGAGACACGGCCTAAGTCAGAGCTGTAGGCATTGTTCAAATGTCTCCGTTGTTTTGTTTTTGTTTTGTTTCCTATATAGATAAAAGATAAAGAAAGCATATATTCTTTGTTAAATAATGCTCGGTGCTAAGGGACTTTCCAGGTCTGAAAGCTTGGGCTGAAGAAGTTAGCTTACATGTGGAATTGCAGCTGATCCAAGAGCACAGAAAATAAACAATGCATACACCTCCATCCCTTGAACTCTGCGAGCTAGTTTTGTGGTTATTGTTCCCCACGGTATTGCCTTATCTCTTGCCATGTTTACAGGATTCGCCTTGTCTGCTACCCTGAGCCTCGCTGCCAATCACAAAGCATCAGAAAGTACACAGAGAGGTGGGTTGGCGTGCAGTGCTGGGAGTGGTGGACACCTGCGGTGAGAGTGCCGAACGAGGCGGTGAGGAGACAACAGCTTTAAATGTCAGGGGGACTGTGTGGTCATAAAACAGAAAGCCATTAAGCAGAAGGAGCATATATACTGGGAGAATCACTGAGGTATCTGATACTTCACATTCCTACTTCTTTTTTTCAGCTGTAGTCAACTGCAGCATGATTAGATTTAGCCCATTTCTTTGTTGTACCATTAGCAAGCAATAAAGCACAATGAATGTGTATGAAGGAAAAGAGATCTTAGATCTAAAGTGCCCAATCATCTTTGCAAAGCTAGACCCTTCCAGTGCGGAGAAGAGACTTCAACCACTCTGTGCTTTTCTTTTCTTTCCTGGCTGGATGAGAGACAACTGTTACTGCGGATGTTTACTCTTTGCACTGTGGTAGAGTTGCCCGCTGGTGGCAGCCTGTTGCAGCCTCTTGCCCAATCCTGGGCTGTTACGATTCCGTCACACCTATCTTGGTCCCAAATGAGTAGATGTACATACAACATAGTAAACACATTTCTCAGCAATCAAGTATGCTGGCTAGGAAACAACCCCATGACAATATGACACGAACTTAAGTTGCCCGGGAGGCAGTCCAATTTTCTTCGTTGGCTGCTTGGCATTTTTTAATTGAACGACAAGAAGTTTGTGTCATTGCTGCGTGTTACAGTAGTGTAACAATGAAGGGGCCACCAAATGGCTGGAAGTCAAGAAGCATACTGAGCCTAACCCTAGAAACCACAAAGCCAATTGATTCAAATG